TCCCTACGAAATGACCCCTGCATCCAAGTTTTTGCCAGAATCGACTCTGCTTAGCTTCTGAGATCTGATGAGATTGGGCTTGCCTGGGCTATCCAGGTCAGGGCATGAAAATATACATAATTTAGAATCATAGAGTTGGAAGGGGCCATAGAGCCGATGTTGTCCCACCCCCTGCTCAATGTGGGGTCAGGCAAAAGCAACCCTGACAAGTCTTCATCTAGCAGCTGCTTGCAGATTGCTGGGGAGGGGGAGCTCACCACCTCCCTGGGCAGCTGATCCCACTGCTGAACTACTCTCACTGTAATCCCCCCCCCTAATATCTGACTGGTATTTTTCCACCTGTAATTTAAACCCATTCTTGAGAGTCCTCTCCTCTGCTGCCAAAAGGAACAGCTCCCTGCCCTCCTCCAAGTGACAGCCCTTCAAAGACTTCAAGAGAGCCATCCTGTCTCCCCTCAGTCTCCTCTTCTCCAGACTGGACATTCCCAAGTCCCTCAGCCTTTCCTCACAGGGCTTGGTCTCCAGGCCCCCAATCATCCTCATCGCTCTCCTCTGCACCCGCTCCATTCTGTCCACATCCTTTCTGAAGTTTCCTGTTTCTTTTAGTTTCTTTGGGTAGCCTAGAAGGCTGTTTTAATCTGCCCCCCCTTTCTTTTTTACTTCTTTGTTATCATTTTTATTACAACTTTACATTGTACACCACTTTGATACTTTGTGTGTGCCTCTTACGTGGAACCGACTTGGGGAAATGATCTCTAAGAGTGGAGAAACAACTACCCCCCCCCAAAAAAAAAAACCAAACAGAATTGGGTAGCATCGCTACTTTCTGACACACTTACACATACCCTCCCTATGAGCAAGATGCCTGAAGTTCAATACACACATCTAGAATGTTTGAAAATCACAACAAAAGGAAATCTCTCTCTCACTATACAGGAGAAACAAACTGTACCCAGAATTATTAAGCTATTTTCCAAGCAGCTAGAAGGCTGGACTTCAGAACATGAATACGGGAAAACCCGGAAAAGAGGCCATTTATACATCTCTCCTTCGAAACATGAGAGCCAAATTGGTTACCGTTCAAAAACCTGAAACTTGGTACATGTGTCACAGAAGACACTCTACTGCAAAACAGTTGTACTTCCACATCATTCAGAAGTGTGGCATTTCGTACACATCCATTCAGGTGGGCAGCTATATTGGTCCGCAGTCGAAAAAGCAAGGATCAAGTCTAGTGGCACCTAAGAAACTAACAAGGTTTCCAGGGTAGAAGCTTTGGGAGTCAACCCTGGAAATGTTGTTGTTCTTTAAAGGTGACCGTGGACACAAATCTTGTACACATTAATCCAAAACTGCTTCTTTAAGCAATGTAATAAACATGCAAGTGTGAAAGATTTTACTACTGAACATGTATGGCAAGTGCACATATTGATTCCTATTTACCAAAAGACAAGCCTCAGGATTAGGGCACTGTTCCAGCCAAACCAACCATGGTTGAAATCACCAGCATGAATGGGTAATTAAAGCAGTCAGATTTTCCGTTTCAGGGAGGGGGGGGTGATCAATGGCAACTTCATATTAAGCATATATGTAAGCTGAATGCACTATGTACATACACACAGCCAGAGACACAGACATACACATATGGGTCATTTCAGATTAGGAGATCATGCACCAGTTTACCTTTGAGTTCACCACCTCCAAGGAGATGTTCTGAGGCATAGCACTTGGCACTGAAATGTAAAGAGAGCGGGGGGGGGGGAAGAGAATGAAATTGGAAAAGCTGTTAATTAGAGGAATGAAACATGACATATCAAAGCATATCTGTTTAAAAAAAAAACACAAAAAAGTAAATCCATATGTGTCATTTCAGCTTATTTTATTTAGTTATTCATTAAATGTCTGGATCACCCAATCCCTGAATGCACAAGGCTCTGGGTGATTTACCACAAATTTTAAAACAGCATTGTAACATTATTAAAAACAAATCAAGACCTTAAAATGATGGCGTAACAACTGTGCAATCCACCCAACTGGCAGCATAGAGCTCTCTCATAAAGCTAAACCTAAGCAAATCTGCCCATTTCTTTCCATCTGTGGTAAGCTTATTAGCCATCATATTAAAGGATGAGAGGCTTGTAACCCATTCTGTGTGGTTGCTTCTTTGCGTTAAGTAATAATACATTTCTTTGCGTTGATACGCTTCTTTGCGTTAAGTAATAACTACATGTGTGGAGAATTGCATGTGTGGAGAATAAGAACATAAGAGAAGCCAACGTTGGATCAGGCCAATGGCCCATCTAGTCCAACACTCTGTCACACAGTGGCCAAAAGTACCAGCTGCCATCAGGAGGTCCAGCAGTGGGGCCAGGACACTAGAAGCCCTCCCACTGTTGTCCCCCCAAGCACCAAGAAGACAGAGCATCCCTTGCCCCAGCCTGAGAGTTCCTATCTATACCTTGTGGCTAATAGCCACTGATGGACATCTGCTCCATATGCTTATCTAATTCCCTCTTGAAGCTGTCCGTACTTGTAGCCACTCCTGTGGCAGTGAATGCCATGTGTTAATCACTCTTTGGGTGAAGAAGTACCTCCTTTTATCTGTTCTAACCCGACTGCTGAGCAATTTCACTGAGTGCCCACGAGTTCTTGTATTGTGAGAAAGGGAGAAAAGTACCTCTTTCTCTACCTGCTCTATTCTTGTATCCAACTTTGCAGGGTAACCAAAAGATTCATAGGCTATGATTTTGTCCCTACAGGTAGCACATGCCCTGACTTAGATGGCCCAGGCTAGCTCAGTCTCATAAGATCTTGGAAGCTAGGCAAGGTTGGCCCCGATTAGTATTTGGAACCAACCTCACAGTTCATATGCGGTTAGCTGTAGCTAAGTAGCTGTACCCAGATCATTAGCTGTGGACTGGATAACACAGGCTAACCAGATCTCATCAGATCTTGGAAGCTAAGTTGGGTTTGTCCTGGTCAGTAGTTGGATGGGAGACCACCAAAGAAGCCCAGTGTCACAACACAGAGGCAGGTACACAAACTGCTGAACATCATGCTCATGGGGGAAAAAAATTGTCTCCCAACAACCGAGTCTCTGAAAATGTCAAGTTTTGATGTCCTGCACAGAGTATTCTGTTCTAGGAAACCGATTAACAATCCAAACCTGTGACGATGTGTTCCAGTCTAAGAACATCCAAGCTTAAATCAGAATGTTTCAAGCCAGTTCTTCTGTATTTTGGGACAGAACAGCAACATCAACTACGATCAATCCCCCATTTAAGTATGATGCCAGCCAGTGTTCCCTCTAAGATGAGTTAGTTTGAGCTAGCTCACAATTTTTTAGCCTCCACCTCACACATTTTTGTCTTGGCTCAGGAAGGAGGGCTCCAGAGCAAACTAATTTATGCAGTAGCCAAATCACTCGCTCACAACTTTAACGCCAGTCGCTCACAAAGTAGGATTTTTGCTCACAATACTCCACAGCTTAGAGGGAACATTGATGCCAGCATATCCTTATTTTTTTTGGTTTTTCTGTTGTTTGTACTTCCCCCCCCATTCCTCTGCCACAGTTTCTGCCCCTCCCCTCAGATCTGGGGTACCATAATGGACCTTTGCTGGATGCATTTTGTCTGGGGCTCATACTTGGTGTCCCCTTGTCACCTATAATAATATTGCTTGCATGTTGGCTGCTCAGACGTTTGCCAAATTAATGGCTCAGAATGGTTGATGTGTTCTCAATGGGTGCTGTGTTCAGAGGAAGTTCAGGTTTTTTACAAAATAGACCTTTGACGGTTCTGTTAATATCTATGGGAGTTTGCAGGTGACCACTTCCACCTGAAAGGAGGGCAACGGTGCATGACAGTATGTCAGAAGAAAGATCAACAGCCGTTAACTGCTGGTTAATGTAACATTACTCTGGTCACATGGAATCAAACCCCCCCCCCAAAAAAAAAATCCTGCTTAAATGATAGGTTGGTTTATTTTTATGTAACAGGAGAACAAAAACATCCATTTTGGGTGGAGAGAGGTGAGTCAGTTTGTAATAATATCCATTGGCGGCTAGAGTATGTGTGAGAGCGGATAGTTTTAAGCTCCAATGGTTTCCAAAGGAGAGATGAACTTTTCTCCTCCCAGTGTGACTAAGGGAGGGAAAGCTAATCAGCCCATTCGCTCCTTAGGGAAGAAGAACAATGTCACACAAAAGAACAAATTTCAGTCCCATGTAGCAGGTGACAAAATAGGTGACAAAGAAACAGATACCTAAAGAAAACCAGTCACCTGAAACTAAATCCTCCCAACTCATGCTTTTGGAAAAATAACCAAGAAAAGGGGTGAAGCTGAGATGCTCGAACATTAAAGAACTCCACACAAACCAAAAATATACTGATTGGTACATCCATTGTGGCTCACAACCCATACCATAAAGCTGAGATGCTCGAACATTAAAGAACTCCACACAATCCAAAAATGTACTGATTAGTACATCCACGGTGGCTCACAACCCAAACCCTAAAGCTGAGATGCTAGAACATTAAAGAACTCCACACGAACCAAAAATGTACTGATTGGTACATCCATTGTGACTCACAACCCAAACCCTAAAGCTGAGATTCCAGAACATTAAAGAACTCCACACGAACCAAAAATGTACTGATTGGTACATCCATTGTGGCTCACAACCCAAACCATAAAGCTGAGATGCTCGGACATTAAAGAACTCCACACAAACCAAAAATGTACTGATTGGTACATCCAGTGTGGCTCACAACCCAAACCCTAAAGCTGAGATGCTCAGACATTAAAGAACTCCACACAAACCAAAAATGTACTGATTGGTACATCCACGGTGGCTCACAACCCAAACCCTACAGCTGAGATGCCAGAACATTAAAGAACTCCACACAAATTAAAAATGTACTGATTGGTACATCCATTGTGGCTCACAACCCAAACCATAAAGCTGAGATGCTCGAACATTAAAGAACTCCACACAATCCAAAAATGTACTGATTAGTACATCCACGGTGGCTCACAACCCAAACCCTAAAGCTGAGATGCTAGAACATTAAAGAACTCCACACGAACCAAAAATGTACTGATTGGTACATTCATTTTGACTCACAGCCCAAACCCATAACAATGCCACTGTCCGCCAGTGATCCAAATTTATGACAAAGAAACAGATGTTACACTTTTCTCTTGGCAGTTCTAGAAGTCAAATTGCTACCACTCGGGTTCTCAGGTCTCCCCTGGACACGAGTGAGGGATGGGGTGGAAGGGTTACCAAATCCAGGTTGGGAAAGTCCTAGAGATTTGGGGGTGGAGCTTAGAGAGGACGGGGACCTCAGTGGGGTACAATGCCATAGAACTCACCCTCGAAACATCAATTTTCTCCATGGAAATTGATCTCTGTAGAAAAGCTGAGATGCTCGAACATTAAAGAACACACGAACCAAAAATGTACTGATTGGAACTGGCTCACAACTCAAACCCTAAAGCTGAGATGCTCGAACATTAAGAAATTCCACACAAACCAAAAATGTACTGATGGGTACATCCATTGTGGCTCACAACCCAAACCATAAAGCTGAGATGCTTGAACATTAAAGAATACACAAACCAAAAATGTACTGATTGGAACTGGCTCACAACTCAAACCCTAAAGCTGAGATGCTCAAACATTAAAGAACTCCACACGAACCAAAAATGTACTGATTGGTACATCCATTGTGGCTCACAGCCCAAACCCTTAACAATGCCACTGTCCGCCAGTGATCCAAATTTATGACAAAGAAACAGATGTTACACTTTTCTCTTGGCAGTTCTAGAAGTCAAATTGCTACCACTCGGGTTCTCAGGTCTCACCTGGACACGAGTGAGGGATGGGGTGGAAGGGTTACCAAATCCAGGTTGGGAAAGTCCTAGAGATTTGGGGGTGGAGCTTAGAGAGGACAGGGACCTCAGTGGGGTACAATGCCATAGAACTCACCCTCCAAACATTCATTTTCTCCATGGAAATTGATCTCTGTAGTTGAGCTATAATCCCCGGAGATCCCCAGGTCCCACCTGGAGACTGGCCTCCCTAACTACCACACATAATGCAGGTAAACATCTTAAATTCAACACCTGAATAAGCATATATTATAACATTATCTTTTTTATAATCATGCTGTCAGTTTTATAAACTTCACTATATCAGTCAGTTTTATAAACTTCACTATATCAGTCAAAAGGCAAACCTTGGCATCTTTTAACTTTTGTCTTGAAGTGAGAACGATAGTCATATTTAGAAGATCTTTTCCACTGGACTTTAGAACTTGAACTCAGGTTCATCCAATCCTTAGTCAAATTTCCCAGGTTTGAAACCATCTAACACTAGTAATTCTGAGAGCTTTTGTCCCTTGTTTTCAAAGATGAGAAATCAGTATTTTATTGCTGGCTGATATTTGATATATAATTGTATCTCTGATTTTTGCATTATTTTTTTGTGTCTAAACTGCATTATTTTAGTTTTGCATTATTTTTGGGCCTAAACTGCATTTTGGAACTTTTTAAAATTTACAAATTATTTCAGTGCATTGAGACACAATTTGTCTAGTGTTTTATAAATTATTTCTCTACAATATTCAAATTGAAGAAATAATTTGAGATGGATTCAATTGCAGATGCCAGATTGCTGGATAAAGCCCTGTTAGGTCCTGTGCTGATTTTTTCCCCTTCTCTCAATTTA